GTAGTAGTAGTAGTAGTAGTAGCGGGTAGTAGTAGTAGCAGCAGTAGTGGCAACACCAGAAGTTTCAGTAGTAGGCGTACGCACAGCAGCAGCATCGTCGGAAGTAGAATTCCCAAAGGGTCCAAGTATTAATACGGTAGCTACTTTGTAGGTATTTGGTCCCCAAAAGTATATACGATACTATACTATACTATACTATACTATACTATACTATAACTTGGGCCCTTTGGAATTAGCCAACTCAGCCATTCGACGCGGAAGGCCTTAGAGTGGAGGCTTTGGCCTGCCCGGCTCGAGTGCTGAGAGCCCCCCAAACTTACGGTTTAGGGTTTAGGGTTCCCCAAACCCCACAAGCTAATTCAAGTTGTCGAGGCTTTGGGGCTGTCAAACCAGTCAAGATTCCCGAATTGAGAAATAGACCTGTCCTCTTCTTTTCACAACTGTGTAACGTGAGATGCGATGATTGTCCATCATGTAGCAATTGCGCCGTTGCCAGGAGTCCACAACTCACAGCATCCAGGCAGGGCTGTCGGCATCAGACATTCGGCGTGACTTGAGTTCGGATGGAGGTTTTAGGGTGGATGCAGTACACTGTCGTCCAAGATGCACCCAATGGAACTTACGATCTAAACGCGGAGCATCCCCTCAAGTAGAGATGGATGCCTGTTGTGGATTACTTGGAGGTTCATGGGTAGTTATAAGTGGGGTTATAAGTAGGGTAACTGTAATCATAACCCCTTTCAGGGGACTTGTAACCCCACTTATAACTACCCATGAACCTCCAAGTAACGTTTTTTCCTTATTTTAAAACGCATCGGACGCTGTGGGTGTGGCCCTGGCGGAAGCTAGCGACTCCAAATCCCTAAATTAAGGAATATACCTTGAATCATATTAGGGCTCCTAGTATAATTTTAGGTATATTCCTTAATTAAGGGATATTTCAGTCTCTGGGAAGCCAGCGGGTGTTTCAGACATGGTCAGGGGACGGAAAACTGCAGCGGGTTTAAGGGTATAAGGGCTTCTTAGGGTTTAGGGTTTAGGGTTTAGGGTTTAGGGTTCTTGGGGCTGTCAAGATGCTTTGATGCTCTTGGGAGGTATGGGGCCTGGGGGCCATTCAAGGTTCTTAGGCCGGAGCAGAAACACTGTATGTGTTGTACCCTTGAAAGCTTCGGAAGCCCAAGCAACCCAAAGGATGTACGAAACCTGCAAGCCTCAGCTCGGAACCTTGTGGCTACGGCTCAAGCCGCTCAGGTTCAGAGCTGCAGATCTTGCAACACCCCCATTCTTCGATAATATGGGGGGCCTTAATAACTACCTATACTATTTTGGGGGTTCCTTATTGTAATTATAGTATAATGGGCCCCAAAACCCTATTCTAATTATTAAAGGCCCCTGCATTCGGTGTGTGCAGCCGGCACATCCGCGATGAGAGCCCTCCTTGGGTTTTCAGCAAGCCGCCGCTCGCTTGACCTATCCGCAACCAGGCGGTTTAGGGTTTAGGGTTTAGGGTTTAGGCAGGAAGAGGCGGCCTCCACGGTAGGTCGACGCCGTGGTTCCCTTTCCAGGTGACATGATCTTCGGCATCGCGGAGTAGGAATTTGTCCGCTTCGGCCACGGTGTCTATGACGAGGAATCTGGCCAATGATGCTTCGTTCCAGGGGCTGCATATCTCGTGTGGTTTCGTGCGACTCCATGTCAGAATGCCTTGATGGCTGATACTTCGACGACAAAGGATTTTCTACTTCGAGGACAAGTACACCAGAATCACTCCGGCCAGATATCAGTCCGACTGGTGGGATCTACACTGGATGCTTGAGGAAGTGCCCAGAGAACCCAATACCCCTTAATTAAGGAATATAGCTTAAACCATAAGATTAAGGCCCCTATAATTTATGGTATATTCCTTAATTAAGGGCTATTGGGTTCTCGGGGTGAAGAGTGAAGAGGGCCAAGCGTCATTGCTGCAGAAAGGGTGCAGAGTCCGAGTCGCGAGAGTCCAAACCCCCGAAACCTCGAACCCTGTGTACCCCAACACGGTTTGGGTTTAGGGTTTAGGGGTTTAAGGGTTTCGGTATGGAAGCGCAGTCATGGGAGCTGAACTTCTGTAGGCTCGGACATTCAGGCGATTGCACAAGTCCTGATGCAAAAAGGGGTTTAGGGTTTAAGGTTTAAAGACCACAAGCACCCAAAGCTGAGAGCACTGCAGGCCGGGCACCGCTGATGCGGCCATGGACGACCTGGAGGATGTAATGGACGGCGCCCCCTCTGCCCGCCCTGGCGAGCTTGCTGGCGTTTTAAGGGGTTTGAGTTTAGGGTGTAGGGTTCCTTTGAGAGCCCACGGGACAACCTTAAATTATAGAGGGATCAATGATTTGGTATGATTTAAGCTTTAAGGCGCGTTGCTATTGGACCCTCTCGGCAGGGTTGGAGCATGTGGGCGTAGGGCATTCAGTAGAGAGCTACAACCCTGAGCCCCAATCCCTTGAGGCTGGCACAGGGAATGCCAAGCAGAGAAGTGTTCAGGGTGGTGGATGCAAGAGCCCTAAGAAGGATGGTTTCGATTCATAAGAACGGAGGCCTTGTCTCGAGTGTTGAAGCAGCTGTCTGCAGCATCACCCAGAGACTCCAATACCCCTTAATTAAGGAATATACCTTAAATCATATTAGGGATCCTACTATAATTTAAGTTATATTCCTTAATTAAGGGATATTGGAGTCTCTGGGCATGGCCAGGATGAAGATTTTGAACCACCTCAGCCACGTGGGCCGGATGCTCAACACTTCGATCGCGCGCTCGAATCTTCTTTTACTCTTGTCGGATCTGGGAGTTTCCAAAAATTAGGGTACCTTATTTTGGGGTCCTTATAATAAGGGTCCTACTATTTAGGGTACTATAGTAGGGTCCCCTATTTTCGGAAACTCCCATCTATTCAAGCCTGACGGCACACTGTCGCCAACAGACCGTCAGTCTACAACTTCGGAAATTGCCGGGGCTAGGCCGGTGCGCTCCAGACGACCACCGACTCGCCTGGACCTCGACGACAGGGCTTCCACGTGGATTGAAGCTTTCGGAGCTTCGGAGGTTTTCCGACACCGGGCTCTTTTTGTTTCACTCCTGGCCCTGAGGTAAGGCTTGGGGGTGCTTTAGGGATGCAGGGTGGCGCTTCGAGTTCAGCTTTGCTTTGCCTTTTCAGCATTTGGTTCTTTGTCCAAGCCTTTTGCTCTGCGAGGCTGCCAGCGAGGGAGTAGAGCCTTGACAACCGACGAGAATCGGCGTTAACGCAACGTTTCCACTGGCAGACGTTCTTGTGGAGGATCTCAACTGTCAGCCGCCTCATAAAGAAAGCATATTGTTGTTACGCATTCGTTCCGATTTCGGCAGCCTGAATGGAGCTCCTTCTAAACCGTACACCCCTAAACCCCTCCAGAACACAGTCACTGAGGCAAGCCTCCTGAACAACAGGAGGGCTCAGAAGTTGTGCCTGGGGCCCAGGATGCAGAGGAAAGCGCAGAAAGCCTATTCTACTTGGAGGTTCATGGGTAGTTATAAGTGGTGTTATAAGTAGGGCAACTCTAATTATAACTACCCTACTTAGGGGACTTATAACCCCACTTATAGCTACCCTAAACCCTAAACCCTATAGAACCCTATAGAACCCTGTAACTCTAGTTATAACTACCCTACTTAGGGGACTTATAACCCCACTTATAACTATTCATGAGCCTCCAAGTAGAAGCCTGACCTTCACTGCTTGGGCGTGTTAAGGGTTCGTTGCGCAGTGCTTCCACGAGCACACTAGCTAGGGTTTAGGGTTTAGGGTTTAGGGTTTAGGGTTTAGGGGGGTTTAGGGTTTAGGGTTTAGGGGTCACACTAGCTCCGGCTTCAATCCTAGAAGCATTTTGGAGCAACGAACTGAAGCCAAAATCCACCTTTGTAGCCAACCGCACCAGTCTTCACTTTTGGGCACTAGGCAGGCAGCTGGAAGGGTGAGCTCAAACGCCAAACCGAAGCCAAAGCAGGTTCAAGCCAGTTCCATGCCCAACCCTAAACCCCTATAGTAGCCTATACCCCAACAACCCTATTCTAATTCTTAAGGCCCCTAAACCCTAAACCCTTTTAGTAGCCCTTATAGAACCCTTAAAGGATCCCTTTAAAGCAACCCCAAAGCCCTATTCTAATTCTGAAGGCCCCTAAACCCTAAACCCTTTTAGTAGCCCTTATAGAACCCTTTAAGGATCCCTTTAAAGGAACCCCAAAGCCCTATTCTAATTCTTAAGGCCCCTGCATTGCTCGTATTGTGGCCGAGGCCAACAGGGCCGAAACCTCGGAAGGCGCCCCGAAGGGCTGGGATGCCAGAGAGCCCCATACTTCAGGGTTTAGGGGTTTCGGGGTTTAGGGTTTAGGGGTTTCGAAGTGGAAAGCCTGTTGCAAAAAAGGGGTTTAGGGGTTAGGGGTTTCGGGTTTAGGGGTTTCGGGTTTAGGAGTTTAGGGGTTGGGGGTTTAGGGTTTAGGGGTTTAGGGTTTAGGGGTTTAGGGTTTTCGGGTTTTAGGGTTTAGGGTTGTAT